TGCGGAGCCTGGTTCGAAGTGTATGTGTGTGTGTGTGTGTGTGGGGCAGGATAGCACGGGAGCTATTCCACGCAGGCAGGCTGGATTTTATCCGGTATTTTTGTATTATCCATTGAAAAAGTGGGGCGGCCATGGCCCCCGCCCCCCTGTTACGCGGCCCCTGTATTATTGCATGCACAGGAGAGAATTCGCAACTCAAATTAATTGCGTCTATGCACAAAATTAATTAAACTTATTTTTCACCCTGCTCGGTTTCCTTTGTTCTTATCGGGGAATATATTCAATATCCCCTCTAATCAATTTCCGTTTTATAATCCCCTCTAATATTCACCTGCAATTAATAATCCCCTCTAATATTCACCTGCAATTAATAATCCCCTCTAATATTCACCTGCAATGTCTTTGCAGCACAAAAAATGAGAAAAAAACAACATAACGAAGGCAAAATGGCATTAAGAATTATTTCTATTCTGACTCATTAACGCGACCTCGCAGTGTAAAAAATAAGTACGTTATTCTGAGGCACCTCGGGGATATGTGTTTATTCACCTCGGCGCTGCGCGCCTTGGTGAATAAATCACATATCCCCTCGTTGCCTCAAAATAACCTATACATAACAATTCTCCTCTATCGTATTTATCTTTGTTAATTAATTTGTTAAGGTAAATCTGGAATGGATTTACTGCCGGGGGGGGGGGGGATACGCAACTCCCTAGCCCTGACCAGAGGGGGTGCAGGGGATGTTATTTTTCATGATAAAGCAAAAAATATTAGAGGCAAAATAAGATACAATAATTTGAGTAATCATGATGATTAGCGATCAGTGAACAACAATTACAATTCAAATACAGTAGTCAAGCAAGACTTTGCAGTAGTCAAGCAAGTTGATGGGCGGGCGGCGCACATGACTGACACAGCTTGGCACCAGCAGGGCCGGACCTAATTGGAAGTGTGGGGGTGTAACGCTCCCCCCAAAGAAAAGTCAAGAAAGAGTTCTAACTTACACAGCTCGAGGGCTCGGGAATGCTGGAATTGCGGAACTTGTTAAATATTAAGGAATATTCTAAAAAATTGAGGTCAAAAATGGTCTGAAAAAGAAAATTGTTTTTTGAGGTGGGCCCTCGAAGGAAGGGGCCCAAATGTTTTAGTTAACCACCCACCCCCTCCCTCCGCCCCAACCAGTTATAGCACCCCCCTACCAGATCATGCTGGATCCATTCCTGAGGTAAATGTGTGAAAAATATTGTGTTTTATTTATATTAAAATGCTACATTTGTCCCCCTCCTGCAGGAAAGGAGATCTTGCACCTACATTCCGTCGCCCCTGATACCATACTATACATTCTAATTTACATTCTAAAGTTTGAATTTTTCTCGTGTTTTATTTAATAATTGCAGAAAATTTTCATAACTTTCCGATAATTTATTATAGATAAAATTAACAGTCAGTAACTGATTGAAATATGCAGACATGCAAGCAGCAATAGTTCGCGCATTGTCTGGGGGACTGGTGCCTAGTTTACGTATCAGAGCGCGAAGGTTCTCGGGATAGCGTCGTTTCAAATTTTTTTGTGCTAACTGAATTCCAGTCGATATTTACAATATATTTATCAAATTTTTCTATTCCAAACGATGGAAAAGGCATCGGAAAGGTCTTAAAATGTTATTTAGATCTCACTGGTTAGAATATTTTATTTTGACTTGTGATTGTTTACTTGAGAGTCTTGAGTCATTTGCCTAAAATTCCGTTGAATGTTTGAATTTGCCGCGTTCAATTTGCATAAAAAAACTACGAAATGTTGGTTTCTGGCAATAAAAGAAAGAATAAAATATCAATTCGAATCCATTATAGCAATTTATGTACTAAATTACGCACTAATGCACTATATTGTTAACAATTTAATAGCATAAATTGCCTTTGGCATATATATAATATGGAACTCAACAGACAACTAGACCTTTCTCAAGGGTAAATATATAAACACAACGATATGAATATATTAAACATTCGAATGCCTTCAAAGATATGTTAGCATTATAATACATGAATAAGGATTAGAACTACAGAAGAATTTATAAAGCATTGGATGTAATATTTTCAGTGTTTTGATCTTAACCCATTATAAAGCTTGAAAATGTGCCCAAATGCATCCCGACTGTTGCTTTACTTTGCCTAATGCCAAACGATTTCATGCTTCAAGGGGTCGGAGAGACTTTCAAGCCCTGAATGAGCTTCAGTTAATGTGTAACATGTTTGTAAATGCTGGAAGATCTACTAGCCGTGACACAATGCCTGAAATGTTCTCTTTATATAAGTACTGTATTTTCAGATTAATATTTTGTGCTGGGCTAATGCCTGACTCCATATATTGTTCTCAACAATCAGGGATTTCTGAATTGAGTTGACAAACTGGTGTTGTAAGGTAAGGATTAACAAGAATAAATAGTCTGCTTTTAGTGCTTTATATGTCATTGAAAAAAATGACAAACTGGCCCAGCTAAGATGGCCACCCAGGACCTGTTCATATGAGCCATGCTGGCCCGTTAAACCGAGTTAGCTTGCTTTGCCGGGCCGAGTTGTTATTTGTTTCACATGAGATGGGCTATCCTGGCCAGTGCTATAAGAAATTCCCAAACGATTTTACATTGCGGGAAAGCGATATTTGTTATAATTTTAAAAATTCTATTTTTATTGAAGGAAACTGCTTCAGAAGTTTTAATATTGTTGATTAATGTTATTTTTTTTAAATTCTTATATGCTTTCTACATAGAATAAAGCGTGCGTTGGTACACAATTGTCAATTGCCAGTCTGGTTTGCCGGGCTGGCCATGAAAGGCGAGATCTTGCCTTTGTGAAACGGGAGCCCATCAAATTAACCAGGCCAGCCCGGTTCTCATGTGTATCAAATCTCAAAAGCATATAAAAACAATATACATGTACAAGGCCATATATCGGCACTTGGAAGTCGGGCCAGCCAGACGAGTCAGCCTTGATCTTGTAAACAGCCCGTATAAGGAAGTTGTTGGTAGGAATTATTACATTTCTTGATACTACATCAAAAATTTAGTAAATATTAACAACACAATTACATGTGAATCCTAAATTTACCCCCAGTGCAGCCCATTTTAAGGACTGTTGACACTGTACTCAATTTTGGTATCTGTAACATGTGTACCATGCTTGGACTACCTCTATTCACACAGGCCGAGCATGGATAAATTTGGTACAGGTACCAATCTTATCTGTGCCATACTTCTAGATTAATCTTGCTATCTCAATGCCAAACCTTTGTACATGTCCAAGGTCCTAGTGTATTAACCCAATTTGTGGCAGCACTCTTTCCCTGACGAGTTAAATCGTCTGGCATTAGACAGAGTAAAATAATAAAGTAGGACGCATCTTGGTGCATTGGCGGCACTTAAAGGGTTAATGTAATTAATGTTACTGCACTACACTCAGTGTACTACAGTAATGCTAACTGTATAATTGAGTTAAATTTATTTAAGAGAAGACAGTCAGTTGATTATCATATTTAGTCGACAAGATATATATATCCCTTTAAACTGGAACTGTCACATGCGAGATCATAAATTAATTGACATAATCTACTTGGCTAACTAATAATTATCTGCTCAGACTGTTGTTCCCAAATGGCAAGTTAGGTCCAGTAGTGCACAATGCAACTAAATGGTTAACTTGACACATGGCCAGATAGTCTGATTAACCCATTGAGCACAACTGCTCTCCCCTTGACAAGTGAGTTGCCTGGTGTAAGACAGAGTAAAATAATAAAGTATGATGCAACAAAATTTAGTGTCTGGTAAAAATAAGCTCGCTGATAATTGTTTACAATTAATTTTTAAAATAACATCGGTCCAAGTTCTTTGCCAGAAGAAGTTGCGCCAGATGGTTGTTTGCCTGATACCAGATGGTAGTCGGGTGGTGCTCAGATACCTGATGGCGCCAGATAGTAGTCTACAGGGTACAGGTCTGGAGAACGCCTGTCTCTGGTTAACATATGTATATTTGTTATACCCTGCATCACCTGAGTTGTACATAGAAATATGAACTAGCTTTGTTATTGATTAATCCCTTGTACACTGTAAGGTTAATGAGGAATGACTTTGTTTAGGACGCAAGTATCAAGGTCATTGTTCTGGAATATTTTGTATAAAGTAATGATTACATTTTCAATAAGTAAAATTTCCTTCTACAGATTCTAAGTTGATGGATGTCTGATGGCAATTGCATGCTGTGTTTGGAACAGTATTAATTAAATGTACATGAAGAAATCAATGGACTTGGTGGATGAAAATGGTATGGGTAATATTGATTGTCAAGTGGACAAAATGTTAAACAAAATATGGCTTCAGGAGAAACTCAATTCGCTACAACACATTGCCTGCATGTGCTATCAGAACTACTATTTCAGTAAATATTAGGATGTTAGGGTTTGTAATCCAAGTGAGAATATATACATTTTAAGACCTAACCAGGAACGACTGCGAAAAATGCTGCAGAAGGTCCTCTGGTAGGAATTGAACCTACGGCCCTGCGATTCCGGTGCAGCGCTCTAACCAACTGAGCTACAGAGGCCAGCTGTTGAGCTGTAACCGTAAGTTCATTTATATATAGGTAAGTTCATTTATATATAGGTAATCCGCACACCCGATTACCTATATATAAATGAACTTTACTTAGCTCAGTTGGTTAGAACGCTGCACCGGAATCGCAGGGCCGTAGGTTCAATTGCTACCAGAGGACCTTGTGCTGCATTTTTGCAGTCGTTCCTGGTTAGGTCTTAAAATGTATATATTCTCACTTGGATTACAAACCCCAACATACTAATATTAATTCCACCAAGTGAAGTGCAAGAATCTAAGTCATTCAAGTCCTCACTATTTCAGTAAATATATAAGTTATAATATTTGCTTACAATGAGAGTTTTTTTCTGAAACTGAGAACGTTTGATGTAAATTTATCTTGTTTTTTTTTTATCTAGTCAAAAGTGTCTAGTTTTAAGAAAGTTAATCTTAAAATAAGATATATTTTCTTAAAATAAGAAAATGATTCATCTAGAAATATTTTCTTAATATTTTCTTGTTTTAAGAAATATTTTCTTAAACAAGTTATACTTTCTTAATTTAAGATTTAATTTCTTATTATTTAAGAAAAGTTTTCTTAATTTAAGAAAAATTTTCTAGTTCTAATAAAAATTCTTATTTTAAGAAAAAGTGCGCTAGAAAACTGTTTCATTATTTTCTTGAAATGAGATATATTTTTCTTAAAACAAGAAAATATTTTTTCTTAATTTAAGGAATATTTTTAAAGAAATATTTTCTCAGTTAGAAAATATTTCTCGTTATTCTCCCTAGTAAAAATATTCTTGTTTCAAGAAAATAATTCTTGATACAAGTTTTTTTTTCTTGAAATAAGAAAACGATTTTTTGCTGTGTTGCTGTTAAAGGAAAGCACTGAAACGAGTCAACGAAACTACTCGGAATATATCTCAAAGAGAATCTAAAATGGGACGTCCGTGTGAAACATTTTGCCTCGACGTGCTATGGCACCCTAGCAAATCTCAGAAAAATAAAGAACTTTACAACATTCAACCTGAGAAAGCATCTGCCTGAAAGCTTAATTATTTCTCGTTTAGACTTTAGTGACATAGCGGTATTCTTTCCACTAACCGAACATCTACGCGAGAGACTACAGCGAATACAGTACTCAGCTGCTGGTTTTGTGACTGGACATTATGTAAATAGTATTGAATCGATTTTAAAATTAAGTTGGTCATCCATGCGAGAAGATACTGACATGTTCTTAAAGCCGCACATAAGGTGTTATATAGCAGTGATTGGTTTCTCTGCGTTAGCCTCGAAAAGTCTGAACGCACTCGTGTTTTACGCTCTAATGCCGAAGTCAATTTAGTTTTACCTCTAGCTTCTAATACCTTTCAAGATTGTTGAGCTTCATTATTTAATTATGTGCCAGGTGATATCAAATCATGCACAGATCATAGAACCTTCTATAGACAAACTCTTAACATTTTAAAGCAACGCACTATTTAATTGTAATACTTAGGTGTAGGTTTACAAATTTCTTACTATTTCATTAGATATTGTAGTAGTAAAATACTGATAATAAATCATTATTATTATTATTATTATTATTATTATTATTATTATTATTATTATTATTATTGTTATTATCGTGCTCAAATGGTTCCTTATATGTGGTTGAACTCACCACTGGTTATGAGACAAACCTCAAAAACAACGTAAAACGGAAGAAGGATAAATATGGAGAATTATTGAGACAGCTAGGTAAAAATTTTAACCAAGTTAAATTTATAAATCTCTCCATCAGCTCTTTAGGTATTTTTGCAGAAGAATGTTATACATTTTTAGACATGTTAGAAGGCATTGGTCTTGACAAAAACCACCAAATGTACTGCGTTAGGAAAATGATGACTATTGCTATTAGAACTACATATTACATTTTTTGCTGCCGAAATAAGGAATGGGAAAATCCGGATTTACTAACAATTTGACTTATCTCATTGTATATATATATATATATATATATATATATATATATATATATATATATATATATATATATATATTGCATACACTTTGTTCTGTTATTTTAGTTTAGTATAATTGTGATTCAAATAGCCAACCGTAAGTTATCTTTATGAGAGAGATTTACGATTGTATATGTATGTAAAGAAAAACATTTAATAAAGTTTCCATTATTATTATTATTATTATTATTATTATTATTATTATTATTATTATTATTATTATTATTATTATTATTATTATTATTATTATTATTATTATTAACATTATTATTATTATTACTCAGTACGATCGATACCTGAGTGCCAAGGACATCCTCAAAGAAATACGGGAAGATAAAATCGGCAATATCGGAAATAACGTTTGCAGAAAATGTCAAACATTGGCAATCGTCTATATACAGCCTGCCGAAAAATATCTATAATTTTAAAACGAGATACCTCAACAACACCCTACCGACCCTGAAAAATATGTCCTTGTGGAAAAAAACAACGAACAGCCTGTGCAGCGCCTGTTTAAATCCTTAAACACTGCAACATGTAGTTTCCTCCTGTAATGTCCATTTAGAACAGGGACGTTTTACTTGGCGCCATAACTCAATCTTAAAAACATTGGCTAGATATTTATCAAGTATTAAGAATAACTCCTTGATTTATGCGGATATTGATGGCTTTGACAACCCCTCGGTGATCACTGGTCTGGAAGATCGCCACGATATGTTGGTCTTAAGTAACACCAAAGATACAATATGTGTAATTGAGTTAACTGTTGGCTTTGAAACTAATATAACCAAAAATTGCAAGAGAAAGGCTGCTCGGTACAAAGATCTCTGCGGGTCCTTGAAACATCGTTTTAGAAAGGTTAAATATTTCAATCTGTCCATGGGAGCAATCGGAATTATTAGCAAAGAATGTAAAGATTTCTACAAGTTTTTGGACGAAGACATGTTATTGGAGGCACCACAAAAAACCTACTTGCTCACAAAGTTGATCGGATGTTGTATAAGAACTACATATTATCTGTTTTGCATGAAAGACAAACAATGGGACAAACAATATAAATATAAATAACATTTTTAATCAATAGACTTTTTAAAACTTTCTTGTACCATAACGTTATCAAATGCCTATGTAAAAATAGTGAGTGTTGGTGGCATTTATTTTATGTATATATGTATATTTTTTAATAATAAAATCGAGTTTCCATTATTATTATTATTATTATTATTATTATTATTATTATTATTATTATTATTATTATTATTATTATTATTATTATTATTATTATTATTATTATTATTATTATTATTATTGTTATTATTATTACTATTATTATTATAATTATTATTATTATTATTATTATAATTATTATTATTATTATTATTATTATTATTATTATTATTATTATTATTATTATTATTATTATTATTATTATTATTATTATTATTATTATTATTATTATTATTATTATTATTATTATTATTATTATTACAACCGTTGGAGAACGCTATTTCGGCCAAACTCATTCCGGCTTTAACGGGCAGAGGACCTTGTTCCAGCGTAGAAAGAACAATACTCTCTTTGCCAACCCGTCATGGTGGGCTCAACCTTGTTAATCCTGTTGAAGTCGCGAATAGTCATTATAACGCAACATTAAAGATTACTGAAACTCTGAAGAAAATGATCGTTAGCCAAACGACAACTTATAAGAAAATTTATCTACACGACATAAAAGCCGATCTGCGAAGGCAAAAGAACTAGTACCACCAGCAACTAGCCACGGAGGTCAGAGAAAGCTTGTCCCCAATAAAGCAACGGACTTTGGATTTGTTGGAGCTGAAAGGTTCATCATCATGGTTATCTGCCCTACCACTGAAAGACCAAGGCTTCAGTCTAAACAAGGGCGAGTTTCGTGATGCTTTGAGCCTCAGGTACGGATGGCAACTGAAAAATCTTCCCCAATATTGCATATGTGGAACTAGTTTTTCGACCGATCATGCCATGATATGCCCACACGGAGGAATGACTATATCTCGTCATAACGAAATCCGTGATCTTACCGCTGATTGGATGAGTGAAGTATGCAGAGAGACGGAAACCGAACCACCATTGCAGCCCTTATATGGAGAGATTATCCTTCCCCGTTCCGCGAATAAACGAGAAGATGCCCGGGTCGATATTAAGACTATCGGACTTTGGGGACGGCAGCAAAGCGCATTTTTTGATGTTAGGGTTTTTCACCCCAACGCGCCAAGCTACCGTGACAAAAGTGTTGCAGCTTTATTCCGGAAACATGAACTAGATAAGAAGAGAGAATATGGCGATCGGATAAGGGAAGTTGAAAATGGTTCCTTTACACCACTGGTCTTTTCAACAACAGGAGGTGCCAGTGGAGAAACAAACAGTGGTTTATTAAAGATTAGCGGAACTTTTGGCCAACAAACGGAAATCTCCTTACAATACCACATTAGTCTGGATGCGATGTGACATATCATTTGCTTTAATGAAATCAACTATATCCTGTATAAGAGGATCAAGAGTGCGTCGGCGCCGTCATACGGACAGGGGAATAGCAACGGAGGTTGCTGAAAGTAATTTAATTATTAACCTTTGAACTTGGAATTTCATAACTACATTAAATCATACACTACAATTAGGGTAATTGTTCACGGAACATGTTTCGTTCTTTCTTAAAATTAAGTTTTTAACATTCTTAGTTAGTTTTTTCCTTTTTAACTGTATTCCGTATTTTATCATTCTTTTCATTGTTAATACATATATTACGTACTATTACTGATTATTACTATTATAGATTACTATTAATGATATGGACCAAAGATACTTTTTATGGACTAAACATATTTTTATTAATTTATTTTGTTTGCAGTGTAAATAATATTTTATATATATATATGCCTAATAAATCATTATTACTATTATTATTATTATTATTATTATTATTATTATTATTATTATTATTATTATTATTATTATTATTATTATTATTATTATTATTATTATTATTATTATTATTATTATTATTATTATTATTGCTAGCAGAAGCCATTCCTGTATTGAATAAATTGATAATATTTTAAGGCGTGTCCAGATTGACAACGAACATCATCGCTGAATTCACAGAACCGAATTTCATTCTTTGTTTCCATCGCTGTGCAGTACACCGTTTCTGTGTTGCCATTAACTACAGGGAGAAAGTTGAAGAAAATAAACCGAACTGTCAATTGACCAACACGACTAAACAAAAATTTGACGAAAATGCAAGCAAGAAAGACAAAGTTTGGACTTTTCGAAAGGTTGATGCTGACAGAAATTTAGTGGTAAGCATGAGAAAATGCCTTTTATAATGTAACATTTATACGACGCAAAGGAATTGTTTTGCACGTGAAATGTTCACATTCGCATGTCCTACAGGGGTTCTCACAGGTATTAAATGCCCGTATTACAGGTAAATGGAGTCATGTATATTCTTGAGGTCCAAAATAGACGTTTGGCATAAGAAACAGTCGAGTTTTACACCACAACCACAAACGTTCTATGAGAAAGACAAAGAGTTTTGATGGACAAAACTGGGGAGGCAACCTAATTTCAAATGCATGCTTCGTGGAAGCTGGCAAATGGTAATATCAAGTTCATTTATCCAGTGGTTATCCGCTTTAAACATTGGAATGTTGGTAACAAAAGTTTACATGAAACAGTTTGTGACTCAACTGACGAACAAATGCTTTGCCACATTTTTAATTTGTGTCTACTTTAAATTTTGGTTAAAAGTGAATCTACTTCGAGAAACAAAAACACAATATCCCTGGGATTAAAGCTTGCTCTGTCTCTAAAATGGATACCAGTATGTTGATGATCATGTGATGTTTTATTTTCCAGACATCCTGTGGAGGAGAAGTAAATGAATGTCACAATGGTGGAACAATGATCTGGGATCCAAAAAAACCTTTCGACTGTCTTTGTAAAGAGGGCTACGAAGGAGAGTTTTGTAAAAAAGGTAGTACAAATTGTCTCAAGAAATTACCCCCATTTAATCTAGTCAATGTCGTGTAAAATCAGAGTTGTTTACAAGTCTTATTAAGTCCAAGTCCAGTCATAAGTTATTTCTTGGAAATCTAAGTTAATCACAAGTCATTTAGCCCGAGTCATGTCACAAGTCATTTCTTGGAAATTCAAGTTAATCACAAGTCATTTAGTCCGAGTCATGTCACAAGTCATTTCTTGGAAATCTAAGTTAATCACAAGTCATTTAGTCCGAGTCAAGTCACAAGTAATTTCTTGGAAATCTAAGTTAATCACAAGTCATTTAGTCCGAGTCTGGTCTCAAGTCATTTCTTAGAAATCTAAATTAATCACAAGTCATTTAGTCCGAGTCAAGTCACAAGTTATTTCTTGGAAATCTAAGTTAATCACAAGTCATTTAGCCCGAGTCATGTCACAAGTCATTTCTTGGAAATCCAAGTTAATCACAAGTCATTTAGTCCGAGTCATGTCACAAGTCATTTCTTGGAAATCTAAGTTAATCACAAGTCATTTAGTCCGAGTCAAGTCACAAGTAATTTCTTGGAAATCTAAGTTAATCACAAGTCATTTAGTCCGAGTCAGGTCTCAAGTCATTTCTTAGAAATCTAAATTAATCACAAGTCATTTAGTCCGAGTCAAGTCACAAGTTATTTCTTGGAAATCTAAGTTAATCACAAGTCATTTAGCCCGAGTCATGTCACAAGTCATTTCTTAGAAATCTAAGTTAATCACAAGTCATTTAGTCCGAGTCAAGTCACAAGTCATTTCTTGGAAATCTAAGTTAATCACAAGTCATTTAGTCCGAGTCAAGTCACAAGTCATTTCTTGGAAAACTAAATTAAGTTAATTACAAGTCATTTAGTCGGAGTCCAGTCATAATTCATTTCTTGGAAATCTAAATTAATTACAAGTCATTTAGTCCTAGTCAAGTCACAAGTTTAAAGCTTTACAGAATAATAAAAAATATATTAATTACAAAATTAATTAGAATTGATTAGTATAATTTCAGTTGCTAGCTATATTGAAATAACGGTTCTATTAAAGCAATGTGAAATATAGTTTGCCGATATTAGCAAAAATGCTTTTCTCACTAGCTTCGTTGTTTAAGCCCAATGTTTCTCTATTTTGTCCTAGTATAGTCAATATATTGTCTGTGGCCAAGTCTAGTCCAAGTTGTTCTGTACAGTTTATTTTACCATGAACCAACAACAATTATATATTAATATAATAGCCTATAGTCATATTGTCATAGTAGCACTGGCAAGCTATTTCTTGCAAATCCAAGTCAAAGCATCAATATTTTTGTTCCAATTCAATTCACAAGTTGTTCATCTGTTTAGAAAGTCAAATCACAAAAATTCCAACTCAAGTCCATAATTCGAGGCTACGACTCTGTTTGAAATAACTTAAATTTTTCTCACATAAATGTCAGCCTAACTCGAAGCTTTTAAACGCGTTTTCTTTTACAAGACATCGACGAATGTTCCAGGGAATCAAGCAACAAATGCCATTCAAACGCAAATTGTACGAACACTCCAGGTTCATACAAATGCCAGTGTCATCCTGGGTTTAGTGGAACCGGAAAAGTTTGTACAGGTATAGATTATCATAAAAATAACGCGTTGACGCGCATGTCTCTCAAATCAATGTCTATATGTGTTACTAGCAATTTCTAAATTTGTATTTCTTCGTCATTTATTCTTATTTTTTATTATCAGATGTTGATGAATGTTCCAATGAATCGACCCATGACTGCGACACCAACGCAAACTGCACCAGCAGTCCAGGTTCATACAACTGTCAGTGCTTCAGCGGTTTCGTAGGTGATGGAAGGAATTGCTCAGGTAATGAATATAGCTAAGTCACTGAATCACTCTCAGCTGCTTTGTAATATAACTCATTCTTATTTTTTATTTCCAGATTTTGATGAATGTTCCGAGAATTCGACCAATGACTGTGACGTCAACGCAAAGTGCTCCAACAGTCCAGCTTCATACAACTGCCAGTGTTTCAGCGGTTTCGTAGGTGATGGAAGAAATTGCTCAGGTATTGAATATAGCTAAGTCACTGAATCACTCTCAGCTGCTTTGTAATATATATAACTCATTCTTATTTTTTATTTCAAGATATTGATGAATGTTCCAAGAATTCGACCAATGACTGTGACGTCAACGCAAACTGCACCAACAGTCCAGCTTCATACAACTGCCAGTGTTTCGGCGGTTTCGAAGGTGATGGAAGAAATTGCTCAGGTATTGAATATAGCTTAGTCACTTAATCACTCTCAGCTGCTTTGTAATATAACTCATTCTTATTTTTTATTTCAAGATATTGATGAATGTTCCAAGAATTCGACCAATGACTGTGACGTCAACGCGAATTGCACCAACAGTCCTGCTTCATACAACTGCCAGTGTTTCGGCGGTTTCGAAGGTGATGGAAGAAATTGCTCAGGTATTGAATATAGCTTAGTCACTTAATCACTCTCAGCTGCTTTGTAATATAACTCATTCTTATTTTTTATTTCAAGATATTGATGAATGTTCCAAGAATTCGACCAATGACTGTGACGTCAACGCGAATTGCACCAACAGTCCTGCTTCATACAACTGCCAGTGTTTCAGCGGTTTCGTAGGTGATGGAAGAAATTGCTCAGGTATTGAATATAGCTAAGTCACTGAATCACTCTTAGCCGGTTTGTAATATAACTCATTCTTATTTTTTTCCAGATATTGAATATAGCTAAGTCACTGAATCATTCTCAGCCGGTTTGCAATATAACTCATTTTTATTTTTTATTATCAGATATTGATGAATGTTCCGAGAATTCGACCAATGACTGTGACGTCAATGCAAACTGCACCAACAGTCCAGGTTCATACAACTGTCAGTGTTTCAGCGGTTTCGTAGGTGATGGAAGAAATTGCTCAGGTATTGAATATAGTTAAGTCACTGAATCACTCTCAGCTGCTCTGTAATATAACTCATTCTTATTTTTTATTTCCAGATATTGATGATTGTTCCAATGAATCGACCAATTACTGCGACACCAACGCAAACTGCTCCAATACTCCAGGTTCATACAACTGCCAGTGCCTCAGCGGTTTCGTAGGTGATGGAAGAAATTGCTCAGGTAATGAATCAATCGACAAAGTGTCCAAAAACACTTTAAGTGCAGAGATTTTTAATTTTGTCGGAGAAAGGCTTCAAGAATCCCCGACAAATAACACACGAAGAATCTTTTTGTTTTAAATCTATTTATCTGCTAAAACACTTATAGAAAATCCTGAAAATAACAGTTTGTTTTTCACTCGGAATGTTGTTTTTCTAGCTCTCGTATCTTCCCCCGGCCCATTCCTCATTGTCTCAGTCCGATATAACTTTCCTACAATCTATGCATTAAATTAACTAATTTTCTAGAATATTCAGATTTTCTTCTGAAATGTTGATGCTTTGAGTTCAATAAGCATTCTTACTGATTATTTCAAACATTGACGAGTATTCTGAGAACACCCGTTCTTCTGATGTTAATCCAAAATATATTGGCTTCTTGTTTAGTTTGGTAGTTCTCCCCACTTAACGAAGGAATGAAAACCCTTAACATCAGACCAAAAAAGGCTAATCTTTAGGAGTTAGAAATTATCTAAGTTTGTGAAACTTCTGTTGGCGTAATAGTATTTGTTAAAGGAAAATATCAATTAAAATTTTGGTTATTTGTGTACAAACTGAAATATTTTGAAAATCTAAGTGATGAGTCAGAGTGGAGAATAAATATTGAAACATGAATATTTTGATTATTTCAGACATTGACGAGTGTTCTCATGGCAACCACACATGCCATGCAAGTGCAACATGCATCAACACAGCAGGTTCTTACGATTGTCAATGTAGAAAAAAATACGTTGGAGATGGACGCAGTTGCATAGGTATTCATATAGACTTGCCCACAAGTCAATCTCGCATAGCGAACGGCGAAGCCGCGAGATCGACTTGTTTCGCTTGCAGGAATTTGGATCTGATTAAAAATTCTGGCGCGAAAATTATTACAGTTAATCATTACGCATGTAAGTTTCACAAAAGTTGTCGATTTCATGTGAATTTGTAAATAGATTTTCCTTTGAATTTTCGATCGTATATCTCCGTTCAAATTAATTTGAAAACACAGTAATTCCTAATGACAATAAACGGTTAAAAACATAAGCGGTTGAACAAAATGCTATCAATTTAGACTAAAATGACGTATAAATTTACGGTAGATTTATGCTTCTTCCTATGACTATATTTTAATTAACGGTTTCAAGACTATCTTTCTCAAAATTCCATGACACGCCGTATCTAAGACGAAGATAAGCGACGGCGATTCTTTCCTGGACCGCATAAAAAGACGAATGTTTGCGAAAACATTGAACTATTTCAGTAATAATTCTAACATTCTAACAAATGTTGTTTGCCGTTCTTGTAGAGACAAAAATTCCGCTTTAATTTAGAAAATTAACTCAGTTAAACAACAGTTCGCCTCTGTTGTCAATATTTTATTGTGTCTTCGAGAAGAACCATATTCTTTAGATATGCGTTTTTTATTGGCTAGAATAATGACCACCCCCAATCACACCTCGGTCAAAAAATCCACCGGTAGATTTGGCGCGCTGCAAGTGAGAAAAGTCCTTTCCAGCGAACATGCGAACCGCGAAAAAAAAATCGGAAAGGACTTTTCAATTGGAAAGTCTAATATTCATATAATAACGTTTTTGAACAACAACATTATGTCATATTGAAACAAAATCAGTGCAGGAATAAATTTACTTATATTTATAATTTCATACATTGACCGATGTCCTGATCTTCATATAAGCGACTGTAAGGTTGAATGTTTAACGGAAGTATTAATCGCATTCGTTGTTATCATTGAAGGTTCGTTTTCCGTACCTTCAACCTCGTTCCCAGAGCTTTTCCCTTTTTGTCATTGGGAAGGCGGGAAAAGGCCCTGACACCGGCCGGTCTTCTATGTATTCTGATTGGTCAATGACAAGTACATTATTATGCAAATAATGCAATCTTGGATTGATTTATTCAAACTTCGTGATAAATTAACATTTTCACGCAAGGAGTGTCCATAATATTACTTTGGCCGTCTAAGAAATATTTTTGACAAAATATGTGGCAAAATGGTTAAATTCAATAAGATTTATACACAATTTGTCGAAGGTTAGTATTACTCTTTGTTTTAAACAGTGAGAGAAGATTAATTGTGTGCTAGAATACACCTCTGAGGTTCTGAGCGAGTATTTATGGCAAATCATTGGCTTCGTGCCTTCGTATAGCGTTAATGTTTATATTTATAAAACTAAAGTTTGGGTTTATAAACTGAAACATGACCTTTAGTTTTTGATATTCTTCATAGTCGAGTTTAAATTGGCCTATTAAATTTATAGTTAGTTACCACTAGAAATGCGACGATATTTTGTTTAATTAATATGCAACAGTGTTTACAACTTTTGAATAATATGTGATTTGGTTTTGTTTCAGATACTTTTACATGTTTCATTTTACCATAAATTGTGTTAAAAAAGTGATTTCCTCATTTGGCTGATGTTACAGTTTTCTGATGTGTTTTGTTTTGATGATATTAGAAAATTTCAACATAAAAGTGCAGATGTCTTTAGACATGAGCCGTAATGTATATATCAAAATACTGATAAAATGCATTTCCAGCTTGATTGTATTTGAATTGTTGCAGACAAAGTTGTGCAATGGTGGGATTATGTCACACACTCGTATGCAATTCCATGCGCATGCTTGTGCTTTGATGCCTCAAGAGATGCTTCGAATGTGTAATAAAAGGCTGTTCACAGGAGTTGGGCTGTCTGGCCTTAAATTGCATTGTTTTTATGATATTTAAAGATTGTATTCATATGGCTGGACCTTCTTGTCATTGCCACAATGTTTCATGCTCAAACAGGCTTTAAAATCAGGTTACAATGCATGCTTGAAAATATGCAACAATTTCACTGCTAATAATATTCCAGAAAATCCTGCCTCTTTGGAGGTTTTCTACTTGTGATCGGGCAAGGGGAGCTAGACAAGGGGGCTGGGTCAGATTCAAACTCATGTGAACAGCTTCTAAGTCCTAATTATATTGATAATTGTACACTTTGGGATGGTAATTGCAATTTGTAAAATATTCCACATTTTATTTAATAAAATTTAATTATATACACTCTTTTGTTGTTTATATTAACACTTTGGACAGTGTATATTTACACCTTTGGACCCTGCAAATAAACACGTTTGGGGGGTGTACCCATTCTAAGCCAAAGACGTTTAAGAACAATTAGCAAGGAATTTGCAAGATAAAATATATTTAAAACTGCTCTCCATATACATGTAATGCATGGTTCAATTCTTGCTTTTACCAAGTAAATCCAGGGATTTTCTATGCTCCCCTCCTCCCGTAGAATTCACTTGAAGTGACTGGGGCAAGATAGCTATAAATATAAGTAGGTATATAAAAGTCAATTAAAATTTACAAATAGAGCTTTTTGAATATAGACCATTGCAAACATTTTTTAAATTTGTTTAACCCTTTATAGTGGCAATGTGCCCTACTTTAGTATATTACTCCGTCTGGTGCCAGACAATTTTACTCAAGGGCAGAATGTAGACTTGCCACAAGTCGACCTCGAACGAAATGTCGGCTCACTCTCGCTGCTTTCGTTTCGTTCGAGGTCGACTTGTGGCAAGTCTAGGCAGAATGCTGCCACTCAATGAGTTAATATATTCTCAGAACAGTTACCATCAAATTAAATCTATTGTGCTGGCAAAATTGCCTTGGAGGGGGCCTTGATTTCTATTGTCTTTTTTTTTGGAGGGGGG